AACAGATTAAACACAAATGAATAAGAAAACAAGAAAGAGCACAAACAGAAAATCCCAAAACGAAGTACAAAAGATAACATAATATTAACAAAAACCCAAGATCATGACAGCGGATGCTTTTTTCGTCAACTACAAATACACCAAAATGAAAATATGTGCCTGCTGGTCAATCATACAACTTCAGAAGTTATGATTAGAAGTTATTCCAGTGAGTTTAGCACATCTGCTAGCTTTTTTTCTGAGTGTTTTACTCACATGACTCACTGTAAAAAGCAGGAAATCAACTCATCATGCACCATAAAACCACAACTCATGTGTTTGGATTAAACAAACAGTAGATAATATCTTATTACAACTCCTTGCTAGCTTGTCTGCCATGTGCACAGTTTTACCTTTTATGGATTCATATGAACAAACAAACTGGTTCAGGGAATATGACAAGGACGGAGTCCATGCAAGAGATTTACTTGAAACAAATCCACTTTGTTAGGTCAGTTTAAATGAACAATGAAGTGTGTGGTACCAGCAATATTAACAGTGCAAGTCAATGCATGGACATGTGGCATGTGTGCTGTTAAAGGTACTGACAGTGCAAAACCAAAGACAATGCAAGGTGTAAGCCAGCTGTAGAAAGGGAGAGACAGAATGTACACTTGGACCAGTGTTTATCGTCTGGAAGGCCCAGGTGAAGTAGATCAAACTGACGACCCTCCCATATGTCAGCCACTTGACTGCTGAAGTTGGCCAGGACACCCTCCAAGACCAGTTTAACACTATAAGTGCATTAAATCCACTCGTTATCCTACCCATAAAACGTTCTAACATTTTTTATTGAGTACGGATTAAACATACAATATACATTTACTGGCCACTTTATTAGGTATATCTGTTAAACTGCTCATTACTGCAAATAGCCAATCAGCCAATCATCTGGCAATAACTCAGTGCATCTAGACATGTGGACATGGTCAAGACGAACTGCTGAAATTCAAACCGAGCATCAGAATGGGAAAGAAAGGTGATTTGAAAGATGGTAGAAGACAAAAGTAACTCAAATAACCACTGGTTACAACCAAGGTCTGCAGAAGACCATCTCTGAACCAACAACACGTCCAACCTTGAAGCAGATGGGCTACAGCAGCAGAAGACCACACCAGGTGCCACTCCTGTCAGCTAACAACAGGAAACCGAGACTACAGTTCACACAGGCTCACCAAAACTGGACAATAGAAGATTGGAAAAACGTTGTCTGGTCTGATGAGTCTGGATTTCTGCTGCCACATTCAGATGGTAGGGTCAGAATTTGGTGTAAACAACATGAAAGCATGGATCCATCCTGCCTTGTATCAACGATTCAGGCTGCTGGTGGTGGTGTAATGGTGTGGGGGATATTTTCTTGGCACACTTTGGGCCCCTTAGTACCAACTGAGCATGGTTTAAACACCACAGCCTACCTGAGTATTGTTGCTGACCGTGTCCATCCCTTTATGACCACAGTGTACCCATCTTCTGATGGCTACTTCCAGCAGGATAACGCACCATGTCACAAAGCTCAGATCATCTCAAACTGGTTTCTTGAACATGACAATGAGTTCACTGTACTCCAATGGCCTCCACAGTCACCAGATCTCAATCCAACAGAGCACCTATGGGATGTGGTGGAACGTTGGAACATCATGGATGTGCAGCCAACAAATCTGCAGCAACTGTGTGATGCTATCATGTCAGTATGGACCAAAATCTCTGAGGAATGTTTCCAGCACCTTGTTGAATCTATGACACCAAGAATTAAGGCAGTTTTGAAGGCAATGGGGTCCAACCTGGTACTAGCAAGGTGTACCTAACAAAGTGGATGGTCAACAATTAAGCAGCCTTAAATGCAATACATCTTCTCATTAAATTATGTGGTAGCATTTCAATACGTCCCCCAAATTCATATGAATTTGCCACATCTGTTACATGTGTTCATTTGTTTGTTCATTTGTCCACTCAGTCCCCCATAGAGCAAACAGCACCACTTCACAAAAGAGCCTCTCGTTCCAAATCTAATCAGATCACTTCACAGTCAAGATGTCCGCCTGATTCTAATCAGATTAACTGGCAGCACCTGGTGCCAAATCAGTGTCAGCCCTTGGTCACTGCAATTAATTCAGAGAGCGCAAATGTTTGATTGCCAGCTAGAAGCTTAATGGCAGCAGATGTGTTTACATTACTGTAGTTACCGGTGGGTGCTAACTGCAGATGGTAACTGCATATGCTGTATAGCTGGGTGTAGTATGAATTAATGTTCTTATAGGGTTTTGAGTCGCCTTGTCAGGCCTTACTTTGAAGTTGTGACGCTCTTAAGCTACCACCTGTATCTCAGAACACATTTTGAAGAATATTTTTAATACATTTCGTGGTTTTGTAAATGTACATGATTGATAAACATTCACATGTTTATTTTCCAAGATTGCTGTGTTGCTCTAATAAACTGTATGTGTATTGTTATATATGCATTTGATTGTACTTGAAAGAGGATTTGCAGTCAGCAAAAACCAGCGTTGACGCATAACACCAACTCCTACACCAACAGAGACACGACAATAGAAATGTTTTTTTGGGAACACTGTCATCAAAGGTACGCTTACTCATCTCTCCAGGTATCGTCCTCCCACGTTCCATGTGCAGGCCTGGTATGATGAAGTGAAAGACTACACCTTTCCGTACCCTCAGGAGTGTAACCCCTATTGCCCCTTCAGATGCTCTGGCCCAGTTTGCACTCATTATACACAGGTAGCTAGGTCTGGATCATACCATTTCTTCACCCTTTATTCTCTTCAGACTTCATGCTTTAGTGATTTATTACAATGTTTTTCATGAGCTGTCTTGTTATTCTTTTGCAGCTGGTATGGGCCACCAGCAGTCGGATCGGCTGTGCCATCAACATGTGCTACAATATGAATGTGTGGGGACAGATTTGGGCCAAAGCTGTCTATCTCGTTTGCAACTATTCACCAAAGTAAGCAAACTTGTTGTGATGTTCTTAGCTTCATGACACACAGGTTGAAACAGAATTTATAATCATTTGCTGCTGAATTTTAAACATTTTTCCACTCATTGTTGAAGTTCATATCATGACACAAAGGGGTTAGAAAGAAATATCAGTTATAAATGTTGCTTAAAGGAATACTTTATCCCTCAAGTGACCATTTGTATATCAGTCAATCACCCTGTGTTGTGTTGAATTCTTGAAGAATACTTTGTTTTCCTCCGATGCCTCCATGCTGAACAAAGACTCCAAAATGGGAAAAATTCTGGATGAGTTGAAGTCATAGGGGTCCACGTTTAAATACAGCAAAACTATATCAAAACTTTCATTTAAAAACTCACACATAACTTACACAGTATAATCCAAGTCTCTAGTATCCAGTCATCCAGGACAGGAAACGGAATGCAAAGTGAAACTTAATCTATGCTCTCTTCAGTGCCAGACTCCATTGACAAAAATACTAATTTTACCTTGCTGAACACAGAAGCTGCTGGTCTACTGCTGCCTCCATCAGTTAATTTGTGTTACTGTGTGACGTTGCTGTTTTAAAGGGTTAGTTCAGATGCTTTTAGGGCCGATGTCCTACATAGGAGTGTTAAAATGTCATCTTGGAGCCAGAATAGACGGAGTCATGACTCACAACTTAAATTTGATCACATACCAGCCGCCACTGCCCGTCAACAAAAACAAAGACAAAAACAAATATTGGATTTCTCTTTTAGCATTAGCTAACATTAGCCTCGATAGCAAAGCAAACCGGTGGAAATCAAGTGTCATCCTCCTTTCTATGATTGGCACAGTAATCAACCACAAGGCTGGCCATCCCACCTTCGGCAATCCTGTCAAATAATCCATCCACTGAGTGAGAGCGTACGGGTCGGCCAGTCTGGTCCTGTTGGTCAGTGTTTACTTATTTAAGTAACGCTTACGGTCCCAGAGAGTGAGTGACCTGACATGGTGCGTTTGTAAATTCAGTCTGACGCTCTACACTAAAACGAGAGCCCTGTTGGTTGAAGAATAGAGCGTTATATTTCTACATGAATTAACGAACAGTTAAGTTCATCACACATTCACCCCGCTTGGCACTGTGCTACTCTAACAGTGCGGTGCTCTGTATAACCAAACGATACATTCCAACAGCGGTCCGAATTTACCAACGGTCCAGTTTGTATCAGAGGGCGCTCCGACACTTGGATTGAGTATTTCTGAACGCACAACTCACATCATCTTCCTCCATTGTCTAAAACAAGCCAACAGAACTTGCTAGCTAGCGCTGGCTAATGTTTGTGGAGAATTGTTTTGCCTCCAGTTAAGCCCCGCCCACCAAAAAACGTCACACTGTTTACTAACAGTAAAAGGTTCTATAACACAACAAAAAATAACTAATTGAGGCAGCAGTAGACCAGCAAGGTAAAATTTCTGTTTTTGTCAATGGAGTTCTAGTTTTGAAGCAAGTTTCCCATCCAAAGGGTCTGTCTGTCTGGAACGTACTAAGCATGCAACTGGATAAATAAGACTTGGATTATACTGCACGAGTTGTGTGAGAGTTTGTAAATGGATGTTTTGATATAGTTTTACTGTTGTTAAACAGGGTTTCCTTTGACTTCAGTTCACCAAGACCCTTTTTTGTGTTTGGATTATTTGTTCACTGAAGGCGTGCAAGAAAAACAAAGTTTCCTTTGCAAATTCAACGTGATACCTGATGAGCTGATGACATACAAATGGTTAACGGTGGGGTGAAGTATTCCTTTAAGTAGGACAAGTCCTCTTCAATAAGCCCTTCTTGTTATGTGACCTGAACAGGGGAAACTGGTGGGGGCATTCGCCTTACAAACATGGGACCCCCTGCTCTGCCTGTCCTCCCAGCTATGGAGGAGGCTGTAAGGACAACCTCTGCTACAAAGGTATGTGTGTGGAAAATAGAGAAAGACAGAGCCAGAAAGCCTGGGGGAAAATATGCTTACTATACCTTGTTTCTGTGACTTTACTCGAAGATGACAGCTCCAACCCTCCACAAGAGGAAACGGAAGAAAACAACTTCATTGAGCCGGAGGCCCCCCGCGCTCCACAGAAACCCTGGTCTAGGGCCTCCAAGCCCGAGCCTCCCAGTCTCCCTGCCCCAGCCCCCACCAAGCCCCCCACAGAGGACCTGCAGAAGAATGAAGTGGTCAACACACAGCAGATGTGTAAGCTGCCATTTAACTGTTTATTCTAGGTCTAGTTTCATCTCAAAATGGGGGGGTGCAGGATCTGGTTTAGGGCTGGGAGGTGCACAGAATGGCAAAAAATACAGGACATGATCTAAAAGAAAGAGAAAGGCTTTAAAAAACTGGGTCAATAGCACAGAATTTGTGTTGAACAAGCAATAATGGTGCAAAAAATGAGCCTTGACCGGAAATATTTTTCTTGCAATTTATCTTAAATTGCCTTGATGTTCTGTAGCCTTTATCTGTCATCTCCCTGATTAACCCTGACAGTTTCTGAAGTGTACTTAATATTGCAAGTCACTCTTTGGAGCAGGGAGGGGAGGTCTATTTTAGCATGATCCCCTGAGTGTGTGTTTGCTTTTGGCCAGCTGAGAGGGGTTGAGGGGTGAGAGGGGCTCGATGTGGTTTTTAAATGGCTTCCTCTCCGCAGCGAAACGGGCCTGCGCTTGTAAGATGAGACGCTTCCTCAAGAATTGCTGACCACCCTGAACCCTGTTGCAGGAATCCTTCTCTTTGGTTCTTGAAGCATCACAACAAAAGTCACTGGGTTTCACTCAGCTCAGGCCTTTAGAAAGCAGTCGTCTGCATCAGAGCAGCCAGTTCATGCCTGTGGGTTCCTGTCGGAGCACTGAAAGGCCTTTATGTTTTTGTTTTTCAGCTCAGCTTGTGACCTGTGACACTAAGCTCCGAGATCAGTGTAAAGGAACAACATGTAATAGGTACAGTTCAGATGAAATATAATAAAACAGCAGCACAAAATGAAGTATATAGTTCATTTCACCTCATTTTCCTCATATTGCTCCACAGATACGAGTGCCCAGCTGGGTGCCTCGATGCCACAGGAAAAGTAGTCGGGACAGTATTCTATGAAATGGTGAGTACACAAGTCCTCAGGCTGCGTAATCCAAATGATGAAGTCAATATTATACCAATTAACCGCTGTGTGTCCTGTCAAAGTGTCCTCGAGACACTGAAGTGCTACTTGCTTTAACGCCTTCAATGTAAATGATGTTGTAAATATAACATTCTATTGGCAGCAATCCAGTGTGTGCAGAGCGGGTCTACATGCTGGTGTCATAGATAATGACGGAGGATGGATGGATGTAACAAGACAAGGCAGAAAGGAGTTCTTCATCAAATCCAACAAGAACGGAGTCCAGTCTCTTGGGTGAGATGATGATATGCTGATGATGTTTGACTGGTAAAATATATTCACAGTAAGTGAAAATAATGAAGTCTTAAATCAACGCTGTGTGTTTTCTCTCAACAGGAAATATCTAAGTGCCAATTCCTTCACAGTTTCCAGAGTAGCAGGTAAGTCTGACGATAACATGACACTGTAATTAAAGTTATGTGACATTTCTTGGGAAAAGATTCATTACAAGCTGTGCTACAACTGCGTTCGTTGAAATACTGTAACTCTATCTTACAGTCAAAGCCATCACATGTGAAACCACAGTGGCACAGATGTGTTCATATGAAAAGCCTGTAAAACACTGTCCAAGGTATGAACTTCACTTCATGTCTGCCTGCGTGCACACGTTAAGCTCTCCAGCCTCAGGAAAGCTCAAGTGTCCAACTGTTCTATTTTTAGGTTATACTGTCCGAGAAACTGTGTAGAAGAGAATCCTCACATATCCAGAGTAATCGGCACCAGAATATACTCTGATGTAAGTCCTTCTTTTTAAGCTAAATTCTCCACCAGGGTCATCAGCATTTTTCTTGAATTATAGACTGAAATGAGTCAACACTTCTTACCTCACCTTTCGTCTTGCATACCTCTGTAGAAGTCCAGTATATGCCGAGCAGCAGTCCACGCTGGAGTCATCAGGAATGATGTGGGTGGTTACATCGATGTGATGCCAGTGGACAAACGGAAACACTACGTTGCCTCATACCAAAACGGCATTTTCTCAGAGAGGTATGGGTACATGATCAAGCCATGCTGAGCTTAGTGGCTATTAGTATGTGTGTGAAAAGGGATTTTTTAAACTGTCAGGGATAATTGTGCAACAAAAACAACAAAGAACATATCAGAGGACATACCATCATGATTGTTTAAGGAGGTTACTAGTCCTATGTCAGTATTCTGTCTTCCAACTGAAGTGAAGGGGTTAATTTGCCGAGGCTCAGAGAAGAGGAATGAGAAATCAATGGCTCTCAGGTAGAGAGAAATTTATCCACTCTGCCCTCCCTTGTGAACCTAATCTTTTCAAGATGCAGGCAGTTCGTTACATCTCTCATGCAGTGCACATGGGAGGGTGATTAGCATGCTTCCAGTTTAAAATAATTAATTGCTTGGCAATTAGTGCAGAGAAGATGAGTGCATCTTAATGTAGTTGTGGGAGAGGTTTGTTTTTTAGTGGTAAGTCAGAAAGGGCAATCAGCGGACAAGGGGTCTAAGGCTTAATATAGTGGCTCAGATAAAGATGAAAAAACAAACAAGAATGCAAAGCAGTGAATAGCCAAAGCATTTGGACTGAGGAAGAGGGATCCTGCCAGCATATAACACAAAGGGGATCGATATAAGGTTACAGTGTAGACAGTTATAGCTCAGTCCAACCAATTTGGTGGATAAACTTAAGCTGGACAAGCTGACGAAAGAGCATATAGAGAATGAATGGATTCCTTATGAAATGTCTTCTCATTTGTTCGTGCAAACGTGTGTCAAATCAGTCTCCTGTCTGTCTCACCACACTTTGTGAATGCATACAAGTGAAAATCAGGTCATGCAGAACATGTTCTTTGCAAGACCCTTACAGTCAGAGGTAGGTTTGGGTGGAGTGTTCTGGATTGCTTGTCACCTGAGCCTTGTTAAAAATAAATTATCTGGACTTTAATAGATGAACGCAGTACTTGTAACCTAAATTGGCCTCTAAATTATCTCCAGGTACAGAGTGTTTAATTGTTCTGAAACAGTAGGAGTTTGGTCACAACAGTGAGAAAAACCACAGACTCTCTACATCAGAGCCATTACAGGGACCAAATTACTGAGGCTGGAGTTACCATGTTGATAATTTACAGTGAGAATCATTGCAAGTAAACCCAACATCCCTGGAATATTAGGAGGGGTAAGCTTAGCATATTTGTAACCAGCAACCTTTACAGAAATAATAACAGGAAACAGTTATCCCAACGCTTAATCCTTGTCTAACAACGTGACACTCAAAGCATCTGTTTACAACTGGTCTTAACATGTGTTTCGGTGATCTTAACACAAATGCCCAAACACATTGCCATTCACACCTGTCTCTATCATGCCTGTCTATCATGTCTCTCCAGCTGACCACTTGTGTTCGGATTATGTTACTGCGTATGTCACTTAGACTAGAAGGTCAAAGGGCCCCATGCACAGTAATTACTTCCACACTCTGACTAGCTGCTCACTAGCATGTTCGCCTGTAGTACTCAGTACAGCTAGAGATATCGCTGTCAGCAGAATTCACTGCCTCCTTCCATAGGGAAAACAATGGACGATCACCCAACACTTTGTCCAACTTGTCGTTAAATCAGCGTCTTGTTACATCCTTGTCGGGGACGTATCAGAGCGCATTAGCTTTGACACTACAAAAGATATGTGGTCAAATGCGTCCCAGACCACCTCGACAAATGGTGTTTGTGGTTGTTTACACTTTTATTTAGTGCTGTTCACTTGTGATCCGATCACCCAAGATGCATGTTAATACCAGGCATAAAAAGGCTAATGGTCAAAGGCAGCGCCAAACATACATAGGTTAAAGCAGTTGGTCCCAACCGGTCCAGCCATGGGGTCCAGATTTCTCTTTAGTCATTAGTTAGAGGTCCCACAGTTTAATACATTCAGCGTCATACTTGCGTTTCGCCATGTTGTCGAGCTAGCTTGCTGTCTCTGTCAAGTAGCTGTCAGTTAGTCACTCACTCTACAGCAGAAAACAGCACTTAAAAATAAAAGCTCTGTACTGGAAGTTTGCTGTACTATCACTAACAAAGACCACGCCAATGGAGTTAAAAATTGCAATCAGTTTATTATGTATAATGAATGATGAGGATGAGGGTCAAGGGAAGTAGGGGGGAAGATCAAGGGATGTGGGAATGAAGGGATGAGGGTCGTAGGATGGAGGCATGAGGGGATGTAGGGACAGGGAAGTAATTAAAGTGGGGGCAATGATGGGAGAAATGAGGGTTGTGGACAGGTGGAAGGTGGAATCTTATGGCCGTCCAGTATCGGCTGAAGGGAGGAGGGTGCAATGGAACCAAGGAAGTTGAGATGGAGAAAAGGGGTTTTGGGGTTCCTTGCGGTCCATTCCAGTTTGGACTGCAACCCACCAGTTGGGAACCACTGGGTTAAAGGATCTCAAATAGGAAATAGTAGGTTTGAAAGTAGAGCACTGCATCGTCGGCAAAGAGGTATATTCTTGTTTAAATCACTCCATCATTTGTCTGTTTCTGCTCTGAAGAGAAGGGGGGCAACAGTGGACAATCCTGTTTGGCGTCACCTGCTAACACAGAGCAGGAAACAAGGGACGTCACTGGTTTGTACGGTGGCTATTGGAATGTTAAGAAGCTTAAGCCAGGCAATAAAATACCAATTCAAATCTAAGCTGAGTGTAAAAACGTGCCTCTCTAGGAGGTCATACAGCTATTCTGCATCAAGAAGACAAGAAAGGTTTGGCTTTTTGAACAAGGAGACACATTAATGCCCCTTTGATATTGAACAATGTGCTGTTTTAATTTGTGAATTATTTCATCATTATTACAATTCTCATCATCAAGTATATGTTTGTCACCATCCTCCTACACAATGAGCCTTTGGTGACTGAAAGGGAATAACATTTAACTGTTAACAAAGTAGGGACCTTGTGATCGCCTAGAAAAAGACTTTACTGGTGCTAATAAAGTGAGAGCATGTGTTGAATCCATGGCGTACCACTTTACACCAGCATTAAGGTTACAGGTCCGTACCAGCCTCTGTTTAAAGCTCAAGTGACCCACATACTCTATAGTCTGTTCTAGTTTTTGAGAGATATTAAATTGCACCAACTTTGGATTGTTCTGTGGTCTGCAGTTTGTTCTGTGGTCTGCAGAATGACTGTTGTTAACATGACCTGTGTAGAGGACAAACACAGACACAGTCTCATTTATTCTATGGCCTTCCCTCTCTCTTTCTGTCCTCCCCCCTCTCTTCCCCTGCCTCTCTCCACCACATTTATCTTTGTCACTTAGCTGAGATGCCTGACATCTGTTAGTATCTGCCCATCATTTATCTGTCTCCTTTAACTTCACAACATGTCTGTCTCTGTTGGATTAACACATGAAGGTCCCCTGTGTTTATGTAGAAATGGGTGGTTTATCTGTTTTCTCACGGAGCCTCAACCTCTGTCTGTTTGTGTCCTATCTGTCATCAGAGTGTCAGACAACACACTGACGTGGATGTCCCTGTGTAAAAAGAGAAGTCTATCTGTTTGTGTGTGTATGTCATCAGTGTCTCTCAGCAAAAGGCTGGGACATGTTCTGTATCTGACACATGCCGCACCCAGACTGACTTTCCCTCGTCTTTCTCTCTCTTTCTCCCCTGCAGCCTTCAAAACCCTCCTGGAGGGAAGGCGTTCCGGGTGTTCGCTGTGATTTGAGTGCCCCAGAGGGCGGCTTCACCAAACAGAGAGCGCACTTGGGCTGTTGAATAGGCGGTAATCAAGCCCTGTTGTCAAACTCAATGACTGAAATGTTTCTGGCTTTGCTACACTCCAGGGGTTAGAGGTCGTCTCCATGACAGCGTAAACCTGGCAACGAAAACTTGACACATACACAATGAGAAACTGTCAGTGCTCACTCGCTTTGAGTTTCCAATTTGTCATCTTGAGCGGGGAAATTTAATAACTGTAAATATCTCTGAATATTTTGTTGTACATATTTGTAAATAGTATTACGCCTGTTTTGTCTTTGTGCCATTACCTTGCCCTTTTAAAAATAACTCTGTATGAATACTGATTATATAAATCTTATGATATAACATATAATGGCACTTAAGGATGAATATCAATTTATTGTATTAAGTCTGGCACATTTTTACTGGTGCTCTGGAGTGGTGTCTTGACATATTTTGTACTTTTTTTTAATGATTGGGGAACAAATTGTAATGCATTTATTTTTATATGATTATGCTTGTGTCAATATGATTTATAAAGTATGCTGCTATATGTTTTATTTTGTATTATCATTGTAATTGCCAGTGTGATGGGATTTGTTTCTTTGTTGTTTTTTTTCTCAGATAACGCTTTAGTTAAAACTCCCTGCAGGTCGGGAAGTACACTCATCCCTCAGAGCTGTCATTCTCTTAACAAAACCATGTGCCAGACTTCATCATGCGTTGCATTTAAACTGGATGTTGCTACCCTGAAATATGTTTTCAGTTCATATCTATTCATTTTCCATTGACATTGATAAACAGAAGCAATACTATGCAACCGTTTTATTTCATACAGTATGTAGCGGAATGGTGATTTTTTTAACAACAGATATATTTGCTCATATTTTTACCAGCTCTCAGCTTTTCTTCAAGCTGCAATCAATATAAAGGGCAATTAATTGTATTTTTGTCACTGTTTCTCTGTGCGTTATATATATTTTCCTACCTCAGGTTGTTAGGAAAAGTCCATTTTGCAATAAAATATTACAACCACCACTGTCCTCTCTCAGACTTTTGCTTGTAGCATTTAAATCACTCAAAGTCAGCATGAGTTTGGGAAGGCATTTTTATCTAAAAACTCTTAAAAACTTGGCTTTTATTATCTATTAATGGATATCAACTTGCCTTTTAAACTAAACATCTACACAACCATCCACCCTTGAAACACTGCCCCAAAACTGGTGGATCCATAAAGTGTCAAATTTAGCTTAGACACTGACAAATGTCTCCTTCAAACTTTTGTTAGTATT